GGGCAGATGTGTGCTCACACACGTACAGCGGGGGTGTTCGGGGAGTGGGGCTCCAAGGACTTAGCTAGAAGGGGAACAGGCGTCTAGAACATTTATTTTAATACAACTTCCTCAGGTTTTCAGGGGGCTGGGACCAAAGGCTTCTCGGGGAGACAATGATAGTCATATTTGAGAAACTAAAAATGTTTTACGTCATTTGGTTCTCTCCCCCGCAGCTCATCTTGGCAAACCAAACAATCACTGAATTGTTTCCGTGGAAACACCAAACTGTGATTTGGATTAGCAGACTCAAAATAGAAACAAGGCAACCTCAAGAATAAATAGGAGCTTTGGAACCAGCTAGTCACAAACTGCAAATTCAAGCCACAGCACAAGGCACGTGAGAAGTGGGGCCCATCTAGCCCTGTAAGAGGTCTCCAGGTCCCCTGGCTGCATCCCACCAGTGTCCCTGCCCAAGCCACTAGAAAGCAGCTCTATATGCAGACTAGTAAGACTTTGTAAGGTGGGAGCTGGTCCACAGAAGCTCCTAGGATCTGCTGGGGGGCAGGCAAGGACGGTTGAGGAAGAAGGGGTAGGAAAATGGAGAGATGAGCCAATGGTTGAGTGAAGGTCAGGAAGGAGCAGAGAGCCACAGCTAAGGCCTGAGAGCCGAGGAACAGTTCTTTCAAAAGGAGAATTTAGGGATGGCCACGGGCTGGAAATGTTGACCCTGGCTTCAGCTTCGTCCCTATTGCCACGTTCTCCACATTCCTGGACATGGCTATCTAGCCACTTGTGGCTAAAGTCTGAAATCTTGCCAGGTGAGCTCTGGGGGCACTTCTGGTTAGTAAGCCTCTGCCTCTGTGTGGCTCTAGCCGGCTCAACCAGGCACTGGGGCCTGCCTTCTCGTCTCTGGGTCTCCAGGCTCCCCTCCTCCTGCCTCCTGCTCCCTCTCACTGGGGGACTAGGAGAGCTACCTCCTGGCCCACCTGTTCTGACTCCTTGGACCCCCACTTCTAATCCCAGGGCAAACCGCAAGGGGATCAGAGAGCCAGCAGAAGAGAACAGAAAACCTGGGGGCATGTGTCCCTCCCCTGTGCACCCAGGAATGTGCTGGTAGGGCGGCGACACCATCCTCCCACTAGAGGAGTTGTGAGCTGTTAGTGGTCAAAGAAATTGAGGAAGAGATTTGCAAAAGAGGCCTAATTCAGGCCAATCTCCCTCTTCCTGAATAGCCAGGTTGGGGCTCACTGGGTATCAGCGTGCCATCTCTGCCAACTGACCCCAGGACGTTTAATATGGCAGTGACCCGTGAAGAAGGCACACAGACGACAGAGGCCACTGCACCTGATTGCAGATAATTACTGAAAAGGCTTTCATGGCAAGACTGTCTGAGGCTCTGGCAATCTGCTTTCTCCCTGAAGTATGTGGGAGAATGTTAATATTTTATGTTCCAGATAAATATTTATAGAGTAGACAAAGTTTTACTTAGGAAATCTACTTGACAATGAATCCTAGCCTTAGTGGGGAAGGACTTTCTGTGCTCGGCCAGCTGGAAGATGGCTGATTTGATGAAAGGTTTTGGCCTAAGGCCTGGCATGAAAAAATTTTCGAAACTGCTCAACCCTTGTAGGAAGCAACTATCTTTTTTTTGAGTGCAGAAAGGCTACATTCTGGGCACTCTGGGTGGAGAAGGGTTTCTGGCATCTGGCCGGGGAGAGAAGAGGCCATACTGCGGGAGACCCCTCATCAGGAGCCCTTTGGAACTTCTGAGACAAAATGCTAAAAAGGGAGGTTGCAAGGGGATGCTGGAGAACTGACTTTGGGACAGGGCTGCAGGGAACTGTTCAAATGGCGAGCAAGGAATCTCCGCTCTCAGAATTTGTCAAGTGTCTGCTCGTGTCAGACACTCTCCCGGATGCTGGGGGTACCGCAGGGGTGAGGCAGACGCTGTTATTGCTTCCGAGGTTTATATCCCCCCTCCCCAGCAAGGCAGGTAAAACATAGGTGTGCACATCAATACACCGTTTGAGATGGAGCTGTGGGAGAAAATTACAACAAGGGAAGGCAATGGGCAGTGAGTAAGGCAAGCTTCTACAGAAAAGGTCACAAAAAGACCTCTCTGTAGGTGACATTTAAATTGATACTTGAATGTCAAGACAATTAGGTGATGTGGTTGGCTGGGGTCATTGTCAGAGGGAGGCAGCCCTAGGTGGCTCTCTGGGCTCTAGGTCCCTAGACCTCCCACGACACCCCCCCTCCCCCCACCGTGGCGCCACATCTCTCTCAGCATCCAAAAAGCCAAAAACGCTGTGTGCTCTGGGGATGTGCCTGGGCTATGTCACGCTCACCAAATCTGGCAGGAACACAGTTTAAAAAAAAAAAAGTCTTAGGAATAAAATAAGAAACAGAATATCCTTTCCTGATGATTACCAGAGACAGGCAGTGTAATTTTAATTAACCCAGGCTTGTTAGGAGATAAATTTACTGCTCTTTCTACAAAAACACCCAGCTCATAGAACATTGAGTCACTTGATCTTTGACTCCATAACACAAAAAGAAATACTTCTGAAGAAATACAGGATTTTGTAACTCATAGCAGAATCAAAGAACAGAGGGTCCTCCTTTGGCATTTCAGAGTTGGACAGACCCTTCAATGGGAAGGCCACAGTCATAAATATTAGTGGAGTTCTCTCAACAGGTTCTCAACTTTGAGTTGAAACGATTAAACTGTTCTTTTTCTTTTTAATTTTTTAAAGATTTTATTTGAGAGAGAGAGAGAAAATACGAGCAGGGGGAGGGGAAGAGGGAGAGGGAGAAGTAGGCTTCTTGCTAAGCTGAAGGCAGCTGCTTAACTGAGCCACCAGGCACCCCAAAATGATTAAACTTTTCAACTTAGAATAATAAAAGATTTCCAGATACAAACCCCTATGGTCTACAAGCCTTATGCTAACCACGCAGCAGCCACCTGTAGTCAAGTTTGAGAAGGGCTGGAAGGAACCCATGGCGGGCTGGGCCCCTTCCTCCCATGCTTTCCTTGCACAAACAGAGGAAACCAGTAGGGAAGGCTATAGAGGCTGGCAGAGGGCAGGGTAAAGAGACATCCAGTGAGGCTCACAGGGAGAGAAAAGGCCGGGCAGCCTGAGAGGGAGTCCAAGTCTACACCCTTGGCCTTGGAAAGGGCTGCTGCCATTGCCTGTGGCTCCCAGCTACAGGCCACAGGATGTCCTCGGTCTGGAAACCAGAGTAAGAGCAGCTTAGGCTGGTGCCTGGTATCCCTGTCAAAGGTGTCAAAGGCAAATTAAACTCAGAGTTTTGTGCGACACACCCCCTTGAAAATGAATGTAAAAATAAGAAAAAATCAAGAACCATTGCTTTCTATAATGGTCCACTCAGAGGCCCTAGAGTCATTTACTACTGCCTTAAAAATGGGTAACGACATGGAACTAGAGGGTACTATACTAAGCGCAGTAAGTCAGAGAAAGACAAATATATCCTTTCACTCATAGGTAGGATTTCAGAAACAAAACAGATGAACATAGGAGAAGGAAAGGAAAAATAAAATCAGAGCGGGAGACAAACTCATAAGAGACTCTTAACTCTAGGGAACAAACAGGGTTGCTGGAGGGGACGGGGTGGGGGGACGGGGTAACTGGGGAGGGACATGATGTAATGAGCACTGGGTGTTATATGCAACTGATGAGTCACTCAGCTCTACCCCTGCAATTAATGACACACTGTATGTTATTTAATCTGAATTTAAGGAGTATTAAAACAAGAAAATGAGCAGATTCTGGAAGCCAATCCATCCAGTGAGGATTTTTACTTTCAAACAATAAAGGAAGAGAAACCAGTCTGAGCAGGGTGTTATTTATCAAAGTCATCTTGGGAAAAGCCTACAGGTAAAAAGATGGTATCTCTCTTATCCATTTGATTAAGTTGATGGGATATCCCTTCAATAAACTTAATGAAAAAAATATGCTTTTAAGTGTTTTGGATTTTTGTGGGTTTTTTGAGAGAGAGAGAGAGAGAGAGCATGAGTCGGGGGAGGCGCAGAGGGAGACCGAGAGCTTAAGCAGGCTCCACGCTCAGTGCCGAGCCACATTCCGGGCTCAGTCTCAGAACCTGAGAGGACAACCTGCGCCGAAAGAGTCTGACGCTTAACCAGCGGAGCCACCCAGATGCCCCCCAAAAACATGCTTTTACATGTTTTATATGTTTTATTTTTTATTACAAAAGAAATATATATGTATAACAAAAATTCAAAACTCTCTGTAAGAAAGCCAAAGTCTCATATAAGCCCAATGCTCTCCAGAAATATTACTGGACCCTTAGATGCTCTCATTTGCTTGAAGTATGGTTGAAAACAGGATGGGGGGAAACAGCCAAGAAGAAAACCGGGACTGTGTGGCTTGTGTACAGCGTCCCTCTGGGCATTTGTTGGGTGCGGGTCACCTCTCTTCCACTGGCAGCTTAACATTCTCTGTTTCTCTGTGCTCAAGAGGACAGATTTAGTGTGTTCTGTAGTAATACATCCACTGATCAAAAAATGCAAGCACTCTGACAGTAAAACTGGATAAAAATAACAACAAAAAAATACTGAGGCCTGGAAAAGTATTGATTATGTGCAGGAAATACTGTGAAGACCAAAAATGTTGTATTGGGGAGTCATGCTGCCACACACAACGGTTCTGTGGGAGCACTGCTGCCACTCACTAGCCCTCCTCTTTCACCGAAACCACACGCCGCTCCTGATTCCCTGCCCCCAGGCTGCTGGCCCAGCTCCGCACCACCGTCTTCACACACTTCCCTCCAATAAATAAGGACGCATGCAGCTCTCACGCCTGTCACGGGCAGCACCGGGTACCCAGCAGGCCAGATCTGCTTCGCCAGCCCCGCACCCATCCTGCACTGACCCCAGCAGGGCAGGGACTTCCTGCTGTTCGCCAGCCTCAGTGTGGGATCGTGTGTCTCTCCAGCTGCCACCCATCAACTACCAGCTGAAGAATTTTGTGGGCGGGTCAGAAGCCATCATCACTGCTATCAAAACCCAGATCATAGAGCATACTCTTCCCTGGCTCCTTGCACACAGGGGGGTCTGAACTTCCGAGGTTGAGGTCGCTGAACCAGCTCATCTGGTGGTCCCCCTGGGAACTGGTCGCAAGCAGGCTGTTGTCTTGGGAAGAAAGCCCACTGAGTTGTAAGAGGTCTCCCTGCGCTGCCCTCACTGCCTTGCTGCGCATGACTCTTCCTCCCAGGACAGCGCCGACTGGCTTTGTGCGGCTGCTGGGGCCCCGCAGATGCAGGGGTTGAGCACGGGGTTTCTGCTGCTCCAGCGGGGGGCTTTGCGGGCCAGAAACTGGAGGCTGAGGGTATTTAGGAATGGAAGCACAGGTTTTGCTAGGGGCTTGTTCTTGCTTCCTGGCTCGGAGCCTGCCTCTCTGGGACTTCCTGGGCGCCTTTTTGCCTTTCCTCCCTCTTTGCACAGTTGTGCTTTTCTGTGCAGTCACTAGCGTTCGTTCACGAGGATCACATGGAGACGCACCTGCAGCTTGACGTTCTTGGCAGGTGTCCTTAGTGCTGGCTGCGAATTTGTTTGAGTCCAGGGGTAGAAGCCTTGAGGCTCCCTGAGAAACCCAGTCCTTACCACCAGGAACTTTGGGGCCTGGGGAGCCGGAGCCGTGGTTCTCAGAGCTGGTTTTAGGACCGGTCCAGTTCCTGCGGTTGGTCTGCACAGCCCTGGCCTTGACTTGCCTGTTTCTTCTGCTGGTTCCAGCTGCCTGCTGCACAGCCTCTTCTTGGAGAGCACTGCTTTCTGCCCTCTCACCACAGACAACAAACTCTCCAGGCTGCGGGGAGCCCATACTCCGAGTCTGTACGGCAGCGGGGGCCTGAGCCGGCCACAGAACTGCCTCCTCAGAAGCGTACCTGCCCTGCCTGGTGAAATGGAGGCTCTGGGCCAGAGGTGGTGAGGTCTGGGAAGTGCTGTCTTTCACATGCCCGGCGACCCGAGGGACTGGAATCAATCTCTTCAGCTCTGCCAGGACACTGGCCACATTTAGCTGGCCTAGCTGCTCACACAGCTGCTGGAAGTCCTTACTCTGCTGGGCCACTAAAGCTTCAAGGTGCTTCAGGTCGGATCTCATTTCTATAAACTCTGCTTGTCTCTAGGGAAAGACAGTGAGAAAAGAGTTATAGGCACTGCAACTCAGAATGCACAATGAAACGTGGAACCAACCGAAGGATGTGCTAGCAGAACCAAAGCTTGTCCCTGGCTGGGTGCTTTCCAGAAGAAGCATGGCAACATTCTGGAGCAGGGCCCCTTAGGTCCCCATCATGCCAGAGAACCTTAGAGATGGAAGTTGCCCCTACTCTGGTCCATTACCAAGGGACCTATCTGGCTTCTGCTCTTGGCTGGAAAAAAAAAAAAAAATTGCAACTTTAAAGGAGTCCCTCTGGGTCTTAGTGACAAAGCTAAAAATATAGTTGAGGAAAGAGGTTGGGATCCACACTTACAGCTTCAAATCTTTTCTGTATCTCAAAGATGACCTGCTCCATGTTGCCTTTGTCATGCACCGTTTCCAACACCAGATCACTCTGGGCCCGCACGGTCTCTTGCACTAAACACAGAAAAATGACAATCACTCCATGAAGACTATGGCATGCCCTACCCCGCCCAGCCCACAATGGTGAAAAGGGAGGAGCTGGAATCTGGCATGCGCCACCTGAGCCTGCTCTGCTAGTGCCCAGGCCTCTCCAGCCAGATCAGCCTTGGTGAGGAGAGGAAGCCAGAGTAGGGTGGTTCTTCTACTGTCTCTTCTTCCCTTCCTCCCTGAGAACATTCTGACCAAGGCAGACCCAAGCTCAGCACCTCCTGGGGACTCTGAAACCTGCTGCCCAGATGATGGCACCAACCTCCTCCTTGGCCTACCTTTTTGGTCCTGTCATCAGAGTGACCTCTTCAGAACGTAGATATGATCATGCCTCCTTTGAAACCTATACTGAAACTTTCAATAGCACCCCACTGGCCACTGGATGAAGTCCGAATCTCTATTTTTCTAAAAGATTTTATTTATTCATTTGAGAGAGAGAGACAAGAGACAGAGAGAGCACAAGCAGGGTGAGAGGCAGAGGGAGAAAAACTCCCTGCCAAGCCGGGAGCCCGACATGGGGCTCGATCCCAGGACCAGGAGATCATGACCTGAAGGCAGATGTCCAACCATTTAGGTACCCAGGCACCCCGGAAGTCCAAACCTTTAAACTGGCCATGAAGACCCAGGCTCATTTCCCCTTACCCTCTCCGTCCACCTCCATATCGCTGAGGTCTGTTTCCTACGCAGTCTCTCTCTCACCGTTGGTCTTGTGCATGCTGTTCCCTTGGAGTACTTACGCTTCTATCCCTTCTAGACTCTACCCATTCCCCTCAATCACCACTTTAGTGCAACTAATTCTTTTTTTTTTTTAAGGTTTTATTTGTTTGAGAGAGAGAGAGTACACAGGTAGGGGGAGGGGCAGAGGGAGAAGCAGACTCCTCACTGAGCAGGGAGCCTGACACAGGGCTTGATCCCGGGACTCCAGGTTCATGACCTGAGTCAAAGGTACATGCTTAACCGACTGAGCCACCCAGGTGCCACTCAGTGTGGTTAATTCCTGTTCTTCCCTCTGCTCTCAGCAGTCACCTCCTTGGAAAACAGCACTTCCTGGCTAGCTTGGGGGCTCCTTTTCTCTGCTGTTGGCACGATGTGTGTGTGCTCTACCAGCACTTACCACCCATCACCCATCACTTATTTATGCCCTATTTACATTTGGGCAGTAATGAGCCCGGTGACATGAATGCTAACCACTCAGGACTGATACTGATTTGTCTCTTTAGCATAGGGAGACTTTACACACACACACACACACACACACACACACACACACACACACACACTTAGTAACGCATTGTGTTGCAATTATTGCCTCTCTCTTGCTAAATGGCAGGTCATGTGAAGACACTCTTACATTTATTCAACAAATATTTGATGAGTGTCTACTATACACTATAAACTATTGTGAGTTCACATATATTCTAAATGCATAACAAGTATAATTTATAATCAGGAATAATACACCAGATATTCTTTTTATCTTCTCATAACTATTTAAAGGGTGTTCTAAGATTCTTGACAAAATTTTTTTTCATTTTAGGTGGGTAAAAAACAATCTGGCAACAAGAGAGTGCTTAACTCTTTGCAATAAATGGAAGGAACATCAGAGTGACATCTGGTGATTGAAAAGACAGGATATCAAACTCAAATTTATGGGATGCCTGCGTGGCTCAGTGAGTTAAGTGTCTGTCTTTCACTCAGGTCACGATCCTGGGGCCCTGGGACTGAGCCCTGCATCAGGCTTCTTGCTCAGCGGGGAGTCTGCTTTTCCCGCTGTCTGGTGCTCCTCCTGCTTGTGCTCTCTCTCTCTCTCTTTGACAAATAAATAAAATCTTTGGTTGGGGGGGGACACAAAAAGCCCCCCCCCCCAAAAAAAACCAACCCTCCTCAATCTTATTTGAAACCTTGCCTCAATCTGATAGTTGCTTTGGTTAGTTCCCCATGTTCCAACTATTCTGTCTCTTTTGTCTTCTCTTGTCAGCCCAAGGGTAGGAATTTAACACATGCTATCTAATAAAGCTTAAGTGATTTATTCAGTTTTTCTTTAAAACATAATCCCCTTCCAAAAGGAGACTTACATTTTAGATTTCTTACATTAACATAAGTTCTAGATAGATTAACAATTTTTGTATAATTAAGTAAATCATAAAGTACAAGAAGGAAACATGAGGTAAATTGTAACTTTGCAGGGGAAGGCCTTTCTAAGCAAGACATAAAACCCAGAAGCCATTAAAAAAAATGGGTGAGTTGCATGTCCTTGTTAAGTTATTCCTGGGTAGTTTGTCTTCTGTGTTAGATTTATAAATGGCATCTTTTTTTCTCATTTCACTTTTTTGTTAATTTCTGCTATGTTACTAAATTATATGGTCTATGGCACTTTTCCAGTTGGTTCTCAAAATATCAAGGGAAAACATGAGGCTCAAAAAATATGTCTATAAGGGATAGTAGGGGGTACCCAGATAACATAAAGAATCAGGAAGCAAAATGGCATTAAACATCTCAATAAGCAAATTAAAAATAGAAGACAATGGAGCTATGCCTTAGAGATTCTGAGGACAAAGCATTTCCCCTAGGATTCTATACCCATGTGGAGATAGAAGACATTTTCAAACATGCGTGTATAAGAAAGTTCCCTCCCATATATTTTTTCTCAGAAAGCTACTGAAAGATGTGTATCACCAAACACAAGTGTAAACCAAAGTCCAGGAAACAAAGGGATCCAAGACTGAGGATGAAAGAAAGAGGATCCTCAGAATGATGGTGAAGACAAGTCCTAGGATTGGGACCTCAGGAGTAACCTGCCCAGTTTGGAGCTGGAAGACTGAGCTCCAGGCAGAACTCTCTAATGAGAAAATAAAACAGAATTAATGATGTGTTTGAATGTATTATTTGGATATTTATAGTTTCATCTGAAAATTATTATCAGATACTGTGCTAGGAACATGGAAACGATCTTGAACAAAACTGTCTACCACATACATGAATTTTTGCAGTTTTGAAAAGGAAAAAATAAAAATGAAAAGTAAATAAACATATACATAAATAAGTGAAAGCTGTAATAAATGCTATGATAGGGGTTATCACAAAAATAACAGAGTGGGGGACACTTATTTCAGATAAGGTCATCAGAGATGGAGACATTTAAGGTGAAACCAGAAGGACTGAAAGGAGCTAGCCCTGTGAAGATTAGGGAAAGGTTATTCAGATAGAGAAAACAGCAAGTGCAAAGTGAAAGAGCTTGTTATGACTGAAATAGGCAAGTCAGTGTAGTCTTGCAAAATAGCAGTAAGAAATGATAAATTTTGTGTTATGTATATTTTACCACAGTAAAAAAAGAAGTTTTTAGAAAGCAAATTTTCTATTACTCAATACAAAGTTAAATTCCATATGTCAACCAATTAGAAAAAGGCTGTTTACTTATGTTTCAAATACTGGATTCCTATTCCTAAACTCAATTAGTCAAATATTTTTCCAGACATCCTTGTAGATATTTGTAGTAGAAAGCAAATGTAATTATCCTATCCTAGATGAATTCCTAAATAGCAATGTTTCTTAGCAACAGTGAACATTACCAACCACAAAAGCAGAGAATGGGGAAGGCAAGAAAATTGTTCAATTCCAGATTCAGTACTCAGAAAGCATCTTTCTGTGGCCCCGTATATTCTTTCCTTGGCCCTTGGGAAATGTATGTTTGAGATCTTCTCTTTCTCACAAGAGCTTTTGTATCAAGCTCATTACTTCCAAAGTTTATTCTTTTTCGTTTTAAAAAGTTTAAGAAAATAGCTCAAACCTGTAACAGTATAAAAAGGTATGCAATGAAAAACTGGCTGATTCTCTCCTATGCAGACCTTGAGTCCACTTTCTGGAATTTAACATTATGAGCAGTTTCTGGAACTTTGCACTGATACATTGATACACGTGCATATCCATGTATAGATTATAGATCGTGTGCGTGTGTATGTATACGTATGGGTGTTTTGTAGAAGGGCTCATTGCATTTCTGCTTTGGCCATAAACAACAGGTATCTTTAGCTTGTTTCATAAAAATGCCATTGAAAATCTATTTCCATATTCTGGACTGTATCTCTGTTTTCTTTGAAGATGAATTTTTTTTTTTTTTTTTTAGAATATAGAGCCATTTTTTTTTTAAAAAGATTTTATTTATTTATTTATTTGTCAGAGAGAGAGAGAGAGAGAGAGCACGCGAGAGTGAGCACAAGCAGATAGAGTGGCAGGCAGAGGCAGAGGGAGAAGCAGGCTCCCTGCTGAGCAAGGAGCCCGATGTGGGACTCGATCCCAGGACGCTGGGATCATGACCTGAGCCGAAGGCAGCGGCTTAACCCACTGAGCCACCCAGGCGTCCCTGAAGATGAATTTTTTATTCATTTCTATTTACGTACTCTGTAGTTTTGCTCTCCCTGCCATGCTGATGACAGCCTGTGGAAAGGTCTGGAAGCCTCCATGTATAAGAAGAGATTGTTGAGTCTCCCATTTTTTTGGGAAAGCCTTCCCAATTTTCACTAACTGGTCACAGTCCTCCACAAGATGCGTCCTGGAGTAAATTATGTGCACATAAGCAGCACCTTGCTGTTACTATTTAATGATGAATAGCTTTTTCCATTTCAACATGGTTCATAAAGATAGACCTCATTCTTCATAATGATTATATGTGCCTTGCTTAGAAAGGCATTTCTCCACTCCAAAATTATAAAAATGTTGCCCATTTTTCTTATAGTTCTTTTTATGATTTATCATTACCCTTACCATATTTTCATATGGAATTTTATTTATTTATTTATTTATTTTTAAAGATTTTGTTTATTTATTTGACAGACAGAGATCACAAGTAGACAGAGAGGCAGGCAGAGAGACAGAGGGGGAAGCAGGCTCCCCGCTGAGCAGAGAGCCTGATGCGGAGAGCCTGATGCGGGGCTCGATCCCAGGATCATGACCTGAGCCGAGCCGAAGGCAGAGGCTTTAACCCACTGAGCCACCCAGAAGCCCCTATATGGAATTTATTTTTATGTATAGAGTTATCTGTTTTCCAAAGAAGACATTTTCTGATTTTCTTTCTTTTTTTTATTATTTTACCATGGGGCTTGAACTCACAACCCTGAGATCAAGCGTTGGATGCTTAACTGACTGAGCCACCCAGGTGCCCCCATTTTCTGATTTTCAGTAGCACTCCTTTTTATTTTCCTAATGATCTTATTTTTCAATAGAACTGATACCTATTAGGTAGAAGTGCTCTTTACTAATTAGCCCACCTAAACCTAAATTAAAGTAGGGTGTGGATGGCCTTGGTAATTCGTTCTCTATTACTCTGGTCCTCAGTCCTCACCTGAAGGGCAAGAGAAGTTAGATTAGATAGCTTTGAGTGATCCCTATGGTTGAACAGACAGACTGTGACTAGGGAAAGTTTTCATGACTGCGTTCTGTGAAGGTACCCACTACATTATTAACACAAGAGCACTTTCCCTCTCCCTTGTGAGCCACGGTGAGCGCATACTGAAGGCTGCAGACTGTACTGACTGGCGGATTCAGTGCTTCAGGATAGCTAGACTGGACCACACCATATGATGATAGAGGATTTGGCTGGTTCCTTTTTCAATGACTAACTTCCTGATCCTGATCACTACTTACCAAGAAAAGGAATGACTTTGAACAGGATACTTGTACCATTTTCAAGAATGATTGGGCTTTCCAGGACCACCGGGGTAGCTGTTGGTTAAGCATCCGACTCTTGATTTCAGCTCAGGTCATGATTTCAGGGTCTTGGGATCAAGGCCTGCTTGATCCCAACTCAGGCTCCATGCTGAGTGTGGAGTCTGCTGGAGATTTGCTCTCTCCCTCTCTCTCCATGCATCCCCCTGTTCAAGATCTTTAAATACATACCTACATAAAATCTTTAAAAAAAATTATCTGGCTTTGTAAATAATATGATGCCACAGTGTCTGTTACTGTTTGTCCTATCAATGTGGCTCCTTCTCCTGAGTCTTAACCTCTAAAAAGGGACCATCAGGATGAAGGATCAGGATCCCTCTGCCTACTATAACCCAGACCCAGTTCTAGTCCTCGCTCTGCCTTGATCTTGTACTGGGAGATTGGGCACTTCCATTCCCTGATCTGGGCCAAGAATGTCATACCTTTGCTGCCTGCAATCCTCCTTTTTGTACTTCACCTAGTTTCAAATGTAGAAAGCAAAAGGAGTGCTTTCCTCAGGCACTTACGAATGAGTTACTCCATCATGCTATACAAAGGAAGCACTCCTGATTTGCTTCTGCTCTTTGTCTTGCTACTTCTTGTGAGGGCAACAGTCCCAGGCTTCCAGAACGGGTTTCCAAACAGACGCACAGTTGCCCTGTGTGTGGGATACCCAGGTTGGAAGCCAGCAGACAGTACAGTGCTTTTTGGCAGACAGATGGAGATTAATTTCTAAACCACACAAAGGCATTAATTTTCGTAAATCATGAGCAATCCATTCCAAGGCATTTAAATAAGTTGACTTCAATTTGTTTAAAACAAAAAAATAAACACACAGACAAATCCAAACAAGTACAGATGCCGTCATCATCTTGCTGTTTAGTTGAGAAGCTGCTGGTCCTACAGAGGTGTCCGCCCAAGAAGAGCAGTGTTATGACTCTTCTGTTTTGTAAGAGCCAGGCCCATGGTTTTATCTAAACATAAATCACTAATTGGTAGAACAGGAGACTTTACAGACCACTAACTGGAATGGAGAATGATGCTGTGATTCACTACAAAACAGCTCTCATTGAAACCAAGGCAGCAAGAAGAAGATGAGGTGACTGGAGTATTTCTAACTCTTAAGGGAGCAGTCTTTATTTCTAAGTCCTAAGGGAAAAATGTCTTTATAGACAGCACAGCCAGCAACTCGTTAGGGACCTAGGCATGCTGCTGATTCACTTGAGGCAGTGAGATGAGAAATCTGGCAGAGCTACCGAGGCAGCGGGATTACTGGTGGAGGATTAGCTTCACAGAGGGTATCTAGGGACCAGGAACATTCCCAACATCTAGGTGGGCCCCATTACCCAGCTGAGCGTGATCCACATCTCTTCAGGGCTAACCTAATATACTCATCATCTCATCTGCAACACTGTAGAACCTTACCTCTGACAGAAACATGGGTAGGGTCAGAAAGTTCAGTTCACTGCTCACTAGTGCCCTCTGCTGATAACCTCAAATACAAGATACTCACAGGTCTTGGCCAGGGTCTCCAAACCATCCAAAATAGATTGGCTTCTTGAGCTGAGATGTTCCTCAGACTTTTCCACAGATGTCTGCAACTAAGCAACCCCAAATTAAGAATGAATTCACAGACCATTGCCTTATTTTCCTAACTTGGAGTATTGTCATTAAGTGATTTTTAAAAAGGTAGTTAAAATACTGCTATCCTATATGAATTAAGGTCAATGTAATTAGCAAACTTCTTAAAATGTAAAATGTTCTAATTCTTTGACATGTAGCTCTACTTACCCTGTGAATGCTTTCTCTGATATGTGAAATGAGGTTGTATAGAGTCTCACTAGAATAAACGAGAAAAAAGAAATTAAATCCTTGTGGAATACTGAAAAAGTATGTAACAGAATTGATTCCATGAACATGGCAGGACTTCACCTGGTAGAGCATCAAAACAGTGCTTGATTAGACTTGGGAGACTCAACCCTGAAAAATTTTAGTGTACAGCTACAAAAAAAAGAAAACATAGACTTTTTCTGACCATTGCCAAAACAAACCATTTATTGCTTTTTTAAAATTTACTCTACATGTATCTTAAATAAGCAAATACTAGCAACTCAAGTGGTTACTACAGCAAAACAGATCAGCTTTCATTTTCATAGCAACAATGGCTTCAGAAGCTAGTGATTCTGGAAACATTTTAGTCTAATGACTATTTCTTTGAGTGTAGGAATGGGTAGAGATAGTTCTGGGTACTCCCAGAACTATCTCTATTAATTTCTTTTTTTAAAAATTTTATATATTTATTTTGAGAGACAGAACAGGACAGGGAGACAGAGATAGAGAATCTCTGGCAGATTCCCCACTGACCATGGACCCTACTCTGGCTTCATCTCATGACCTTGAGATTATGACCTAAGAAATCAAGAGTCAGAGGCTTAACCCACTGAGACACCCAGGTGTCTCTCTCCATCCCTACCCAAGGTTTTATTTATTTATTTATTTATTTATTTATTTATTTATTTATTTATTTATTTATAGTTGGGGAGAAGCAGAGGGAGAGGGATAAAGAATCCAAAGAAAACTGTGCTAAGTGCAAAGCCTGCCCTAGACCTTGATCTAACAACTGGGAGATCAAGACCTGAGCCAAAACCAAGAGTTGGAAGCTTAACCAACTGAGCCACCAAGTAGTCCCAGCAATATTAATTTTTAATGAAAAAGAAACTATAACAATTATTCCTCAAATAAATATCCCACTTTTGAAAAGATTCAGACATGAATTTCCATTAAAATTTTTTACAGGTTTTGTTTCTTCACTCTTTGCAATATAAATGCAGATCCAGTTTGTGAACCCTAATAGGACTACTCTTCATACCAAGTCTTTTGGATGCTCCACCAGTTTGACTTTAAAAGGAGAATTTGGGGGCGGCTAGGTAGCTCAGTCAGTTAAGCAGCCAATTCTTGGTTTTGGCTCAAGTTGTGATCTTGGGGTCAAGATCTTGGGGTCATGGGAGGAAGCCCCATGTTGGTGGGGGAGTCCCTGCTCAGTGGGGAGTCTACTTAAGAGTATCTCCCTGCCTCTGCCCCTCATGTGCTCTCTTTCTAAACGAATAAATAAAATCTTTAAAAGATAAATAAATAAAAGGAGGATTTTATAGAATCATTAGGGGTCTACAAACCTTATGCTTTTTTATGAAAGAGATTGGGACATTAAGTGAAAAATTTTAGTGTCCAGCTACAAAAAACGAGAACATAGACTTTTTGTGACCATTGCCAGGCAAACCAGGCAAACAATAAAAATATTTAAAATAAAACAGCTAATGAGTTAGGAGCACCGGTGTGGCTCAGTCAGTTGGGCATCTGACTCTTGATTTCAGCTCAGGCCATAACCTCAGGGTCATGGGGTTGACTGTGCCAGGCTCCAGGCTCAGCGGGCAGTCTGGTTTATTCTCTCTCTGCCCTCCCCCCTGCTCCCACATGCACACATGTGCATTCTCTCTTTCACAAATAAATCTTTAAAAAATTAAGGATATTAAGAAAGAATGCTATTGAATTATAAAAGCAAAGAATAAGAAAGGGATCTAGAAATTTAAAATAGCAGAAACAAGTAGAATAGTTAGAGAAGATACAGTTAAGGAAATAGGACAGAAAATAGAACAAAATACAAAGATATGGAAAATAGATCAACAGAAAAAAAAAAAAGAGGATAAATGCAGGAGATTTAATATATACCCAAAACTAAAGATTCAGAAGAAAGAAGAATAAAAATAGATTTTCAAAGATAACAGAAGAAAAATTCCCAGAACAAAACCCCACAAGTTTATAGGTCAAAAGGAACTCATTGATGCCCAAAGATGAGGACATGCCAAATGAAAGCACCTACTGTAAAATTTCGGAAGTCTACAGATAATGGGAAGGCCTTAAAAACTTGCAGAAAGAAAAAGGCAAGTGATGTATACAGGATCAGGTCTCAGAATGGCATAGACCTCTTAAAAGCAACATATAAAATGATGTGGTGATGACAGCAACTAGAAATTTTGGGGAAAAATAATTTCCAATCTAGAATTCTATATCTAGCCTAATTTGCAATCAAGTATGAGGGGAAAATAAAGAATTTCAGATAAGCAACGTCTCAAAAAATTATTTAGGTGCCATGTACCTGTTGTCAGGAAGTTTTTGGAATATATGTTTCACCAAATCCAAGGAGGAAACTAAGAACAAAAAGGACATAGGATCAAAGTAACAAAGAATCCAACACAGGAGAGGAAGTGGGAATGCAGGAGAGGGGATGTAGGAACGCTTAGGATGACGGTGAAGGGAGGACTCAGGATGACATCTGCACTGCAAAGCAAGAGAGTACTAAGCTCAGGTCAGAATTAGGAAGATGACTCTGAGAAGAAAATGACACTGAAGAATTTCTGATGTGTTTGGGTATAAAACAAGGGAGCTTCTGAGGTGCCTGGATGGCTCAGTCAGTTAAACATCTGCCTTCAGCTCAAATCATGATCCCAGGTCCTGGGATTGAGCTCCACACTGGGTACCCCCTGCTCATGCTCTCTGTCTCTGTCTGCCTGTGTGTCTGTCTGCCTGTCTCTCTCTCTCGGTCTCTTTCGTGTGCGTGCGCGCACACACACACACACACACACACACACACACACACACACACCTTCTTTCTCTCATAATCTTTAAGAAAAAATAAAACAAGGGCTTTTTTAGTTCTGCTGCAGAATTTGGGGATAAACTGTGATTCCTATATAGAAAACTCAGCAGAAAAGGAAACAAGGTAATTTTTAACATTAGGAAAATTTAATCATGGTATATATATATATATATATATATATATATATATAGTTTTTCTAGGATATCTAGATAAGGATTTAACGATTGAAAACTGATTTTTTGTTTTTAAAGACTTTGTCAGAGAGAGAGCACAAGCAGGGGGAACAGCAGGCAGAGGAAGGAAGAGGCTCCCCACTGAGCAAGGAGCCCAGTGTAAGACTTGATCCCAGGTCACTGGGATCATTACCTGAGCTGAAGGCAGATGCTTAAGCAACTAAGCCACCCAGGCATCTCAAATAAAAACTGATTTTAACTAAAATGATGGAAGATGCAAGTTTATGGTGGAGGAGGCCAAGAAGCAAATTCTTATTCCAGGGTAGAAACTCATTCTCTGAAGCTGAAAAAAAATCAAGAAATGACAATATAAGCTCGCTAGCATATACCATAAGATATATGGACCTAAATACTAGCATAGCTAAAAGGGTTGCAAGTTGGTTGCAAAAAGCAAAAGGGAATTAAAAGTGGGGAAAGATAGGCCTGCTGTTTTTCACTATAATCCTAATTTTATTTTTTTTAATTTTATTTATTTGACAGAGAGCACAAGCCGGGGGAGTGGCAAGCAGAGGCAGAGGGAGAAGCAGGCTCCCCACCGAGCAGGACGAGCCTGATGTGAGACTCAATCCCAGGACCCTGGGATCATGACCGGAGCCAAAGGCAGTTGCTTAACCAACTGAGCCACCCAGGCATCCCTAATCGTATTTTTTTAAAGTATGTGTATGTGTGTGTGCATATGTGGCTTTTTTTTTTTTAAGATTTTATTTTGACAGAGAGAGCACAGGCAGGCAGAGCAGCAGGCAGAGAGGGAGAAGCAGGATCCCCACTGAGCAGAGAGCCTGATGTGGGGCTCGATCCTAGGACCTAGGATCATGACCCCGGTCAAAGGCAGATACTCAACTGACTGAGCCACCCAGGCATCCCCCTAATTATATTTCTAAAACCTGTGTACATGTATGGAAAGCCTGGATGGCTCACTTGGTTGAGCATCCAACTCTTTTTTTTTTTTTTTAAAGATTTTATTTATTTATTTGACAGACAGAGATCACAAGTAGGCAGAGAAGCAGTAGAGAGAGAGGGGGAAGCAGGCTCCCCGCTGAGCAGAGACCCTGATGCGGGGCTCGATCCCAGGACCTCGGGACCATGACCTGAGCCGAAGGCAGAGGCTTTAACCCACTGAGCCACCCAGGCGCCCCGAGCATCCAACTCTTGATTTTGGCTCAGGTCATGATCTTGGGTCATGGATCAAGCCCCATGACCAGCTCCACACTCAGCCCAGAGTCTGCTTGAGATCCTTTCTCTCCCTCCTCCCACTCACTCTCCCTAAATAAATAAATAAAATCTTTAAAAAATATGTACCTGGAGCGCCTGGGTGGCTCAGTGGGTTAAAGCCTCTGCCTTCGGCTCAGGTCATGATCCCAGGGTTCTGGGATTGAGCCCCACGTCGGGCTCCCTGCTCAGTGGGAAGCCTGCCTCCTCCTCTCTCTCTCTCTGCCTACTTGTGATCTCTGTCTGTCAAATAAATAAATAAAATCTTAAAAAAAATAAAAAATAAAAAACATGTACCTGTAAAATTTTGATTAAAAAATACAAAAAATTGGGACACCTGGGTGGCTCAGTGGGTTAAGCGTCTGCCTTTGGCTCAGGTCATGATCTCAGGGTCCTGGGATCAAGCTCCATATTGGGCTCCCTGCTCAGCAGAGACCGTGCTTCTCCCTCTCCCTCAACCTGTCTCTCCCCACTTGAGCACTCTCTCTCTTTCTGAAATAAAATCTTTAAAAATAAAAATGTAAAGATGTCTAAAGTCTAATAATGCTACCAAAATGCTGCTCATGAAAGCCCCTACTCTATTATACTACCAGTTATACCATGGTATACCACCAGTTGAGAGTGATTCTTTATTCTTAGGACCTCACTCCTTATTAGTGCATTTAGAAACCAATGTTCCCAACAGGGAAAACTATATTATACAAATTAAATACTGTTTGTATATAATTTTATATTGAAATTTTA